GTATAGGTTGGCTCGCCGCCTTTGGGCAGAGTGGTTCATTTGTTAATGATGTTGTGGGATAGCTCATGTGGTAGCAGAAAAGCTTCTGTTCTTCTGCTTAATAAATGTATAAGAAACACTTACACATGCCAGGCACTGTGTCAGCTGCTGGGACTGCTGGGAGCAGGGTGGACACAGTGCTTGTCTCACACAGGTCACGTGGGCTCACACCCTGGCTCTTCCACGTGGAGCTGTGGGACACCAAGGAGCTCACTGCAACTGCATGAGCCTCCTTTTGTACGCCTTTACATGGGGAAGGTACAATGTGTCTTACAGAGTTGGGAAGGAAAAAATGATTACAGCAGCTAACCTTTGGGGGCTTACCACATGCCAGAAGCTGCACTGAGTGCTTCACGCACATTACCGCATTTGCCTTCCCCAGCAACCTTATGAGGTGAGTGGTAATATTCGCTCCATTTTATGAAAGCTTAGAGAGGTCAAGTGACATGTTGGTAGTGACACAAGTGGGGACAAAGTGAGAGCTCATCAAGAGGACATTGGTTGAACAAAGTGTGGCGCATTCATGCTGTGGAATGTTGGGTGGCCGTGAAGAACGACCTAGAGCTGTCCTGTGTGCCTGGAGGCTAAGCAAGTGAAACAAGCCACAGAAAAGGCACGCACAGTGACTTCAGACCCGGTGTGCGCCCCTGCTGCTGTGCACAGTGGTTCGGGTGTGAGTGGATGCGCAGGGAGGTGTGGAAGGACACGCCTTAGGTTATCACGTAGGTGCTGCAGGGCGGGGTGAGGGAGGGGAAGTGAAGAGGAAAACAGATGGCACCAAAAACAGAAGGAAGGGATGTGGTAGGATCATATTCACACCCTTCTGTCTAGGCAAAATGTGCATGCAATTTAAAATTTTTAGAAATGAAGAAATATTTAGTGCCATTTATATGCACACATGGAGATCTCAGGCTTGCAGCTGGTAGACTGGCGGGAGGATTTGCACCCAGGCCCTGGACTCTGGAGCCCGTGCTTGGCCACCCGCTGTGAGTGACATATGGTACCGGTGCACAGCGCAGCAGCTCATCTTCCAGGGCAGCGAGGAGGTGGAAGAGGAGTTCAGAAGGGAAGTAAGCAGGGTCTCCAGGCAGTGCTCGGGGCCTCCACAGGGTGGTGGTCATGAACTTCAAGTGCAACCAGCCAGCATGGTGGACTGTTCTCTGCAGCAAAGGTCAGCTGCCCAGGCTAGGTAACAGGGTAGGCAGAGCGTTGGGTGTGACCAGGGTCGGGGGCTTCCCAGGCAGGAGGGTGCTGTTGATGGGACAGGAGGGCAGTGAGGGGCAGTGAGAGGGTGGTGGCTGATTGGTGTCCCATGGGGAGGAGGCACAGTGGTCAGAGGGGGAAGGCTTGCAATGGGGATTTTGCAGGGGTGCAGTTACTTAATGTGACCAGGTCAGGAGCTACCATGGGGAAGGGACTTAAGTGGGGTGGAGGTCAGGGAACTGGGGAGGTCTCTCCTTTTGGTGATTGCTGTTGCCGGCAACTGTGAGCCAGGAGCTTGAATCTCCAAGGAATTAGGGCAGTGACCTCAGGATTAAAGGTGCCACATGAGGAGGGGGAAGGGGATAATTCTGCTGACCTGGCTTGGGAGGAGCTGGGAGGTTTTACAGAGGACGCCCCCTCCAGGCCCAGGGGTATGACAGGTGGGAGAGAAAACAGCCTCCACCCAGGGAGATGACATTTTCAGGGAGAGCTGGGTTCCCTCAGAGCAGGAAGGGGAAGGACATGGTAGCAGGCACGAGGGGTTGCTGGTGATGGCTGGAGAGGTGCAGGATGCAGAGGCAGAGTTTGGGGATAGTCAGACGGGGCCTGTGCAGAGAGGCATGGAACTGGCCGTGCGGAGGTGCAGGTGCTGTGAGGGGTGGATGCCAGCTGCCGTGGGGCCTCAGCGGTGGGCAGTTATGGGGGGCGTGCGGGGTGAGGCCTATGTGGGGGGAGTCCTGCCAGGAGCACGAGGGCCTTAGTGGGTCCCTCTTGAGTCCAGCTGAGGGAGGCAGAGAGGCTGGTGTGTTAGGAGCGTGTGGGTACCTCCCTGTCCAGCTCATGGCCTCCTTGAGGGAGTGGCCAGACGCTCCATTTGCAGGTTAAGCAGCAGAGATGAGAGGCCTCACTGCTTTTAGTTGGAGAGACAAAAAGGTGACCCCTCCCCGGTCCGTTCAGCCATCGTCTCCCCACTCCCGGGAGGTAACGAAAGGTTTTTGTGTGGAGCCGATAGTCCCTAAGCCCTTGCATTCAGGGCTCGCTCCCCCTGATGCCGCAAATGATCAGGGTTGAGAATCCAAGTTTGGTGTTCTGGTGCCGCCTCTTGCAGCAGAAGGGAGCGGTGTGACTGGGAGGGGAGGAGGGGCCATGCCAGGCACTCACGTGTCATTCAGTGCTCATAGGAGCCCTGCACAGTGGACCAACATGGAGAGCAGGAAGCTGGCAGCACGAGTTCACGTGCCCTCGATCACCACCCTGGCCTTGGCCCATGACACTTGGCCCTTTCATCTGCCTCCTCCAGACCTCAGTGGCAAAGTTGCCGGCTATACTTGTACAGTCTTTAAAAAAAAAAAAAGACTGTCCTGAATCCTAACAGTGTCTCGATTGTGCCCACTGAAACCCGGAAGAAAGGCTGCTAGAGCAGGAACTTAGGAGAACCATATTCTCTCTGATTCTCTTCTGCATTAGCTTGATAAGTGGCCAGACCATCCCTGATGCCAGCTGCTTGCAAATGCTCAGTTTTGTTTGTTTTGTATTTTAAAGCGGCACAGACCAGCACAGATGCTCAGCAAGACTGGTGACCCATATGTGGTCCTTTCCTCCCTTCATGCAGCAGACCCTTGCCCCCTACCCCCTCGCCCCATTAGTGAGCTGCTGGGGACACCTACCCTGGGCTGATCAGTGTTGTCTTGTACATGTTTCCTTTGGGGTCACTGCTAAAGTTGCCCTAGTGGCCTGTATAAGATGTCAGCTGCAGGGAGGTGAGGTGGGGGGGGCACCTGTCCACAGTAGCAGTTTAACAAGGTTGTGCTTGTAGGCTCTGTGGCCTTGGGTAGCATTTGGTGGGCACGTGGGCTGGAGCCAGGTGGGGCAGGGTGAGAGCAGGACCTGGTCAGGCTGCCCGTCTGGATGGCATCGTGTCTGCCATGCAGCAGCCCAGCAGCTCTGCGTGTTGCCGGTGGTTCCAAACGAGAACTTAATGTGACCCCAGAGCTGTTTCTGTGTCTAGGTATGATGAGGAGCTGGCCCAGGGCGACGGGGCTGACCGAGAGCTGAGAAGTCGCGCGGGCCAGTCGCTGGGGCCCAAAGCAGGCCGGTCGAGAGACTCGGGGAGAACCGTCCTCACGACCTGGAAGTGACCGCCTGCGAGAACAGAAGACTGCGACCTGGACCTTATCAAAACCACTCACTCTACCTGGCTCCTCCTGAAGACCTGTTTTGAAATTTCTTTTTTCTAGAGCTTTTCTCCTTTTGTAAGCCCTGTAAATAAAGAAAGGAGCTTCTTTGGAAGGTTATGGAGTCTATTTGATTAGGGCTGGAAGAACTGATTCAGATAAATGTATAAAAGTAGCTCTTTTGACAGAAAGTAACAGCTTCAGCATGTGATTTAGTTTATTATAAGGTATTCACATTTTAAAAATTTTTGCACTAAATTAAAAACAAAAGCAAAACCGAACACCTTACAGAAGAGTACTGCTGTGTGAGAGTAGTGTGTGAATCTGACAGCTATTTTGGTTTCATCCTTTTTACTTGACTGTGATTTTTAAGAAAATAGGCAACTAGAAATATTCCTCTGTAGTTTATCTTTACGAAGACCTTCGTCTAGGTGCTCTCAGAAGAGACTTGAGTTTTGTAGATGAGTCTGTCAGAAGTTGAGCCGATGACACAGACGGCTCCCGGCTCCCGCAGTGTGGCTTTTCTGATGTCGGCCTCTGGGTTTGCTGCAGACTCAGGTGAGCGCTGTTGGCGGCCAGCAGCGGGGGCAGGCTGTATGATGTGGCATGTTCATGTGAAGCCACCTTGGAGTCTGGTGACTCGTAGAACGATATGGGGAGGGACCTGCATTGGTCAGGGGAGTTTTCAGCGAGAGCCTGTGACTGGCAGCCATGTGATACCTGCTCGCTGATGGAGGCTTCGTTCACTGTCTCAAGTTTATACTTAAAAGTCCTCACTTGTTTTTTGTTTGTGGTATTGTGCTGAGTGCACGTGCTTCAGGTAGGGGTCTATGGTACTACATGTAGACGTGTGTCAAGTGTACATGTCATATCGTGTGTGGCTATATGTGTGCACATATATTTTTAACGATGTTTCACTGCCAATTTGGGAAAAGGTCCTTTTAAATGCTTGTGGTACAATATAAAGTGAGAGAACCGTAATACAAATGGTACTTAGCCAGAATCCAAATAAACTGCAGTTTGGGGGGATTTGTCTGCTGTTCCGGTTTAATGATCTGATTCATCTGTGCGTTTCGTGCGTTCCTGGGTACTTAGGTTTAATGTGGTGTGCTGTCGCTGGCAGGTGTGGGATCAAGTCTCTGAGTCAGACCTGAGTTTGAGGCCTGACTCTGCCATTTATTAGCTGTGTCCCAGGGCTGTCCCCTGGGCTCGTTGGACCTTTGTGTCCTAGTATATAAAATGGGGACTAATTACATTTGCCCCAGAAATAACGTGCCACACTACCCAGGGCCCTGCCTGCCCTGCCTCACTTGCAGCTCTGGTCAGTCTTCCTGCCCCAGGGTGGCATCATCTGTGCACCTGGTGGCCTCCCGCTCGCTTCTGCACCCAGTGGTGAAAGACGATTCCCGCTCGCCTTTACCAGCCGTCCCACCCAGACGCTCTTCAAGCCTGGTTCTCAGTTATGCTGTTTTGCTTTTGCCTCTCGAAGGCTCTGGGAGAAGGGTGGGGCCCCTGGCTGGAATGCTGCTCTCGTCTGAGCATCGAGGCCAACTCAGTTTTGTTGGAGCCGTGAAGTTGTTGGTTTGCTGAGGGCTGGTTGCTAGGTGAGAGTGAGTCTCCACTAAATGAATTTATATCAAATATTGACTGTTACATTAGTGATGTCATGTTCTGGGGCAGATGTTTCCTCTGAACACTTCCAGAACACACCCGGGTAGGAAGTGTGCAGTGCCCAAAGCAGGCCACGGTGTCGACAGCACTGCTTGCCGCTCGGCCCACGGCTCCAGCAGTGGCCCTGCTTGGAACCTTCTGGGGTGACAGTTTCTGTTTTCTTGTCATCCCCTGTTATTTTTTCCCTCTTAATAGGGTGGGTTCCCAGGCCTGAGGGTTGCAGTCTCTGGTCATTTTCATGATTTTTGATATGTTTGATTTTTTCCAGTGTAAACTTATCTCCCACCGGCTCCCACATGGGCTGTCCCCAAGTCTTGGTGAGGTGCTTGAGCCCTGGATGCGTCTTGTCTCCCCCAGCAGTCCCTGAGCCTGGCGACAGCCTCTTCTACTCCACCTCCTACGTGGGCCACTGCTGGAGTCCCCATGGGGCTCACCTGCAGCCCCGTCCCATCCAGCCTCTGGCCAGTGACACTTTCTAACTTGCAGCCATTTTGTCCCCACACCCCAAGAAACCTCCTGTGCTTGGGAGGATGTGGGAGGCCCCCAGCCCCAGGCTTCCACCTGCCCGCTTGCCTGTCTCCTCTGTTTACCCTGCTGCACTCACCCTGTGTCCACCAGCCCCAGGCTCACCTGACTCTTCTCTGCATGGGTCATCCTTCGCCCTGGAGACTGGCCACTCCACCTCCCTTCAGGTGCCCTTTGCAGCTCTGCTGCCGAGTGCCCAGCTCTGGGTCTCCCCTACATCAGGCCAGCAGCCACCTGTGGCCCAGGGAGGCAGGCAAGGGTTGGTCTGCTGCAGAGCCCTGAGCTCTCCTGCTGCAGGGACCTTGGCCAGCAAGTCTAGGCCCAGTGCCTGGCACTACTCTGCGACCCAGCACCCACAGGGTGTTCATCGTGTCATTTAACATGCACTGTGCCCAACTAGAGGGCCCTCGAGGTATATCAGGACCCTTGGTGAGCCAACGGGAGCACTGGCCAATTTTGTTTCCTGCTTCTCAGTTAGGAAGTTGGGGCATTTCTACATCTTTTCTCATTTGCCCAACCTGAACCACATTGTATCTCATACGCTTTTAACTTACAAATGGCATTCTCCTGATTTTGTCCCTAGGAGCGTTAATTTGAAGTGAATCTACCAGCCCTCTGTTAGCCAGAACAACCCTAGGGGACTGCAGCATCCCCTGCAGGCAACCACAGGCTTCCCCTGCCTGTCACTTGTCCAACTTTTTTTTTTGGTTTTCAAGTTTAACACTTGTTTTTTTTATATAAAGATGCTGTGTGGTTGTCCCAGCCAGGGTCTGGGCTCTCTTCTCAGGTCCTCTGGTGAATTTTCATGAGACAACGAATTGCTGAACAAAGTCTTCTTCCAGAGGTCAGGGGTGAGGAAGCTGTAGCTTGGATGGGACATTGAAGGTGGCCTGGCAGGGTGGCCCAGGTAGCCATACAGCCCCACCATCAGCAGCACCTTCTTGGGCACGGGAGCCGGGGATCCAGTTCTCTAGGGACCAAGTGCATCCCACAGAGCTGTGGTGCCAGAGGCTGGTGGGGGCTCCCCAGCCTTGTCCCCATGGCCCCTCTGCACAGTTGAAGCATGACCAGGGTTGCAGCCCACAGATGGCAACAGCTTTTTTCTTGGAGCCCTTGGCATCCCGACCAGCCTGGCTGTGGAGCTCCTAGTGCAGCCCAGGCTTGGAATCTGGCCTGCTGGGTCTATTTCTGCAGGGGCATCACCCTCATCACCAAAGATACCCAATTTCTTAGTGGGTGTGGTGGGTTGAATAGTGTCCCCCCCATAAAAGTTCACGTCCACCCAGAACCTCAGAATGTAACCTTGGAAAGAGGGTCTTGGCAGATGTAATTACTTAAGTCAAGATGAAGTCATCCTGCTGTAGGGTGGGCCCTAAATCTAGTCACTGGTGTCCTTAAAAGAAGCAGAGAGGAAATACGCACAGGGAAGAAGGCAGTGCAAAGACAGAGACAGAGACTGGAGCGAAACTGCCCCAAGCCAAGGGACACCAGGAGCCACCAGAAGGATTCAGAGGGAGCGCAGCCCTGCAGACACCTAGATTTTGGCCTTCTGGCCTCCTGAACTGTGAGAAAATAAGTTTCTGTTGTTTTAAGCCCCCACGATTTTGGTCTTTGTTTAACAGCCACAGGACACTCATACAGCGGTAAGGATGGGAGTGGGCTGCGGAGGATCAGTCCTTGACCAGGTGCACACCTGCTCTCGGGCTTGTCTCCCTGGGCCCAGGCCTCAGCCCCGCCCAGCCTCTGAGGGTCCCACAGCACAGGAGTCACCTGCGGTGTGTTCTCAGAGGAGAAGCCTCCTGGTTTTGACCTTCCCTGCAGGCCCTGGGCTGCTGCTTCCCAGCCCGACTGCTCGGTCCTGGCTGCATCTCCATCTGTGATCTCTCGTTACTCTCTGCCTGCACTTAGTACAAGTGGACACGCCACACTGGTCCTTTTGTGCCTCTCTAGTGTCTGATTTCGGGGCCATTCCCGATGCCTCCCTCTCTCACCTCTTTTTTTGCTTTTTGGCAGCTGGCCGGTATGGGCATCCGAACCCTTGACCTTGGTGTTACAACTCTGCCCTCGAACCAACTGAGCTAACTGGCCAGCCCTTCTCTCCCTCACCTCTTAATTCCATTTGGGAGCCACATCCCCTTGATTTTTGCTGCCCGAATTCTGTCCCCTCTGTCACCCCTGCCCCCATTCACTCTGCCAAGTCCCCGTCCCCAGGCCCTCCCTCCTCCCCTGCCCCTGGAACCATCTTTCTGGAGAGCACATCGGACCAGTTAGATGCTTTGAGGACGCCCCCTGGCCACACGGGGCTCTCACACCAGGTCTGGAGCAGAGGCTGAGGGTACTGAGGGAGCTCTTCTGGGGAGAGAGTGTGCCTGGGAGAGGAGCTGGCCCAGAGCTGTCCTGTTGTGGCGAGGACTCTGGGCAGGCCGGAATATGAAGCCCCGTCTACCAGCCCGTCGGCTCGCACCTCGGGCCTGATGTCCGTTCTGGCTGGAACAGCACACTGGGCTGGTCCGGCCACCGGGCACAGAGCTCCGGACATACCCCCAGCCACCCACACAGCAGGGCCCTCTCTGGGGGTGGGGGTTGTGGCTGTTCTGTTCCTCTTCTGTCCCCAGACCTCAGGCCCTGCCAGCCTGGAGCTGTCCACAGACAGTGTGGGATGGCGGGGGGTGAGGAAAAGACTTCTTGGGCCCACAGAGGCACCAGGGACTGTTCCAGCTGGAGAGGAAATTCGTGGTGGGCTCCTGTCCTCTGACATTGTCCCCAGACAAAGCAGCCCCAAGAGAGGAAGTGGGCCTCTCCTCACAGCGTGGTGTCCTCCTGTTGGACATAATTGCACAAACATCAACAGCAGAAAAGGCCACTCTGACAGTGATAACAAGACACAAACAAGACCCCTCCGTAATCATGTGTGAACACAGACAACAGCAGGAACAGTGTTCAAGCAAAAAACATGCAAACACTCCCCTGGTGCAGCTAACAGGGGTGACAGCAGTGGCTTCACCGTCACAGCTCCAGCCTCGCCCTGGGCTCCTGCCCTAGAGACAGGTTGTGAAGACGACAGAAGGGCCCGTGCATGTGACGGCGCCCGGTGCAGAGCAGAGCCCCGCCTCCTCAGCCCCCCCTGCTCCCCGACCCCTGCCCCCTGCGGTAAGTGCGTCCCACCACCTGCTTCCAGCGACACCCCATGCTTCCTGTGCCTAGTGCTGTCCCTCCATCTGCAACAGAGGAGCCATCCCAGCAATCCGCTCATGCTGCTCACCCACAAGGCTGCTCCTGGTGGCCTTTGCGGGAGAACACGAGACTGTGAGAAACTTGAATGATTTACCGTGGGGAATCCCCCTAGCACTGACATGGCTGAGTTCTGAGAAAGATGGAACCCTTCCCCACGGTTGGCAGAGGCCCTGTTTAATCTCGGGCAACAGGCAATCCCAGCTCCTCTGCAGCTGCTGCTGCAGGCGCTGTGGGTGGCTGGTGGAGCCTCGGCGGCAGCTTGGAGAGGAAAGCTGCCCTGGGGCTCCCCCACGCAGGGTGCCGCCTTCACTGGCAGGTGGGGAGTACCAGGCAGCAGTGTCCTTACTTAACTTTCACAAATTACATTTCCCACAAAGCCTTCAGGGTGCACTGAATTTTAAAAAGCACCAGCACCTAACTTAAGAGCCACGGGATGTTGCCATGGGAAGAAGCCTTGTCCCTCACGGGTTCAGTCCTTCATTAGGCAGAGGGGGAGCAGGCCACGAGAAGGGCAGTGACTCCCCAAGGTCACACAGCTAGCAAGGGCAGAGGCTGCATTGGGACGTGGTGCATGTTACTTCCCATCTGATTCTTTCCAG